CTTTGGTAGGGTGTCGGGATCCTTTGTACATGGAATTTCTACCTAAATAATTTTGCTTTCAATTTTTGTTATCAAAATTTATTCTAAATTAAGAACTAAATCTTTTTATCTAACTAATCCTTAAATTTTCATTTTATTTTGAAATACGAATATTTTAATTCAAAACAACTATATAAAATATTTATATATCATTCAATTGTACATATATATATATATATCAAGAGTGTAGTCTAAGTACATGATCGTTATTCTTAATTTTTATTATTTTTATTATTAGTATATATAAAATTTGATGTATATTTATTATAAATTTTATATTAGTAAAAAATAAAATAAATTTAAAATATGAATATAAATTTTTTATAATTTATCAAATATACTTTTTAAGTTAAAATGAGATAAATTTAAAAATATAAACATAAGTTTTTTATAATTTATTAAAGATATTTTTTAAATTAAAAATATAAATATTTATTTAAATTTTATTTTTAGAGTTTATAATCATACAAAATTATATTTGAGTTTTAAGTTAATGATATATATAATATAATTATTTTTAATTATTTTATACAAAATTTATAAATTCGTCATTGATATTTCATGGTGGAGTTTTCATAGACCTGAAATGCTAGTCAAACCGTCAAAATGCAAAAAGCCTATGGACGGAGTGGGGAATGTCTAGCCATAGCTATCCAAAAAATGGGGTCAACCAGATTTTAAGGCTGACATTATAAGACTAACAATCAACTTTTTTCAGTGTTTTTTTTATTAGTATTTTCTATTTTTGGTGGTGACCGAAGAGGCCAGGACTTGAGAGTCTAAATGACCAAAAATTCGCCATTTTCATCTTCAGGTCAAATTGTCAAGTACAAGTCCATAAAAAAAAAAGCTTGTTATCATGTCATAGAGTAGCCTCCGGATTGGGAGATTCCGAGTTCGAGTCCCACCCTCGACCACTCATCGTCTCTGTGTTTTGACTTCTCTGCTTGGCAATGAAAGAGAGAGTCATCTATACGTTTTGCATCTTTGACTAATGGATGATAATGTTTAGTATGTAAATAAATACTAGGCATTATTTGATTATCCGATCTGTTTTAAGTAAGATTGATGTATATTATAAACAGTTTTGAATAAGATACAAATATTAATTTTATGATATTTGTTATTTGAATTCGATTATAAATAATAAAACTTTTTTTATTTTTATATTAGATTTTAATATGTATATTACATATAATTAATAGATTAAGTTCATATAAAATATGAATATTTAATTAGTTTAAAAGTACCTTATATGCTACTATTCCTAATTTCTGTTCAAAATTCTTGAGAGATCGAACAATTATGCGAAACCCGAAAATGGGAGCACTGGAATAAAACTTTCTAGCAAGGAAATAGATTACCCTCACTTTAAGGAATCATTGTGTTTTCCTCCTTTTTTGTGGTTTTGGCCATTGTCAAAAAGCTCCAAAGGACAAAGAGAGTTCATATAAAAATGCATGTCCCCCAATTCCCATTGGAAAAAATCTTTATTAATTTCCATCATGATATGGATCTGAAGAAAACCCATTGACATTTCTTTTCTTTTTATTAATTATATATATTTTTGATACGAATCTGATTGGTTAGAAACTCGTTTGTATCAGGTCCTAGGGGAGAAAAAAAGAAGCATAGAATTAAAAGAAGAAAAAGCTTTGTGCATGGAAGTGGAGGTTTCAAGTGAAAGCATTAAAAAGCAAATAGTAAAAGACAAAGAATTTAAAGGAGCACTATGGTTAAAGTGAAAGGACATGAGAGAAGGTAAGCCTAAAATTCTAAAACCCAAAGCTCAACTCATAAAGAATATTGTTTTATATATATATAAATATTCCCCTATGATTGATTGTAACAATGGTTTTTCAGCTTTTGGGTACACAAATTATTTGATTCTATTGAGTTGTTCCACCTTATTATTTGCTTTTACTCTTTTCGAAAGAGAAAGAAAAAAACAAAAAGGTGACAAGGCTTAAATAATAAACAAGTTTTTTGAATTAGATTCATTTATAAAATTGAGTTTTTTTTTTTATTGTACCCTAAACAAGTTACTATCTTTTGATTCATACCTATACAAATCTCTAATTTAAAAAAAAAATTAACAATAATAAAATGCAATACAATAGACATTGTAAAATATTATTAAATTTAATTTGTTGAATTTCATAATTTTATTCTAAAAAAAATCTCTCAAATAAAAGATGATATAAACATTTAAATATTCCCTTGTATTTAAATCTAAGTATCTATAAGCTGTTTTTGTAGCAGAACCTTTTTAACTGATCCACCAAAGGCTTCCACGCCATAAATATCCATTGTTTCTAGGTTCCTTAGTGGAAAAAGCAAGGATGGTCCCGGAATCAGGAACATCTAGACATCAAGAAAAATACAAAAGCAAAAGAAAAAAGAAAAACAGGTAATACGAAAACCACTGAAAACCAACTTCATAAATTATACAACAGGGCGTTGATGCTGAAAGACAGAAAGTGACTGCATAATTTAAATGCAAATGGACCTTGAGGGGGACAGAGAGCCACATCAAGGCCTGAACCATCGATTATTTATGGTTCAATTTTCTGCTTCAGATTAGGGCCCCCTGGTAGTTCATAGCTGGCCCTTGGAAGGCCAAGGACCCAAGAAACCAGCTTGAGCACCATGTTTGGGTGCGGAGGCATTGTTATTCAGGATTTTTCAGTTTTAGGTACATATTATACAGCAGGCTGAGCCCTGAGAGAGAGTGGGGGGGCACTTATGCTAGTTGTTTCCTTGGTGAGTCTGTGAAGATTCTCATGTGTCCCTGTGGATCCTTCTTCCACCATAAGAAGAATATGGAAGACACTATCACAATCCCGGCTGCACCCCCCAATACAATTCCAGCAATTAGTCCCACTCGGTTGTGATTGGAAGCGGCAGCAGCACCTTCTGATACTGACAAAAGTTTGATGATCGTCAGGAGCTAAGATAATCCAATAAGTTTGCTATTTATGTTACATGGATTCTTCATTTTAATGTATTTGTGTTCGATATTTTTGGACATGTACCCGTGTCTGACACGATTCAGAATCCATGTAACATAGAATGTTAAACCTAAGATGATGACATAAGAAAAACCTTGAGATGCATGGATTGCTGATACTAGGGGGCCATATGTGCTTTGATATGGAATGCAGCAGGTGCCTTTTCCAGCCCAGAAGAAGTGAATTTCCATGATTGTGTTTGTCACATTTGCCTCAAATGTTCTGATCAAGGCTTTTTTGGATCCGCCAGCCGCTTGCTGGATATTGAAATCTTGAAGAACTTTCTCACCCTTGAGCAACCGATTTAAATTTAAAGTGAGATGCGAGAAAAAAAAAGGGGATTGAAGCCTACATATCTACCGTGTCAATTGCTCTACATATTGGAATATGTTAGACAGGGGGCAAGGGCAGCTTGTTCTGAATTTCAAGAGAAGATGGGCAGTTGGATTTTTTCACCATACCTGAATATAAACATCAAATAAGCGCCTCCCCAGGCCTTTCCAAGACAGGGAGTCATCCATTGCTATCTCAGCAAAATGAAGCTCAACACTGTATTTCCCATTCTTTAAACCAAGGCCATAGTACCTCTAAGAGCTTGGTGAAACCCTTGCTGTCTTGTACAGCTCTGACTCTAAAGTTCCTGTGATCTGAGAATCTGTCTTTGAAATATATATATTTCCATTCGGGTTTGAAACGAAACTTCCAGCACTGCTTACTGCCCAGTGATTGTCAGTGCTTGTGTACAGTGAGGCGGCTCCAAGTATTTCAGAGTCATCATCAAATTCAATGCCAGATGCGGATTTCTGAGCTGTGCCTCCGCACTTGATAGAAAACGAAGCTGCACAAAGAAAAAGGAAAACTTGGAATTAATCATAGTCTGATCAGAATTTCTTTCATGGCATTGTGTGATTGTTTCTTCATTTCTTAAGAATGTTAATAACACTAAAGAAATTGAAAGGCTACACTCACAGGAAGGAACCTTGTTTCTGCACTTGGTTTTGCCTTGGAGGCACTCCAGCATCTCAGAAACCTTTCTGTATTCATCATCATTGACATGGTTTGTCAATCTTTGCATGGAAGTACTGGCAAGGAAGGCTAGAACTAAAACATGAACATATGAATCTCAAGAAAAAGCTTACTTGTCCTGTAACCCATTTGCATTGATAGAAGTTCCAACAACATTCCTGAGTATGAAAAGGGGAAGTCAGTTACTGTTCAATCGGAGCAGCAAGACAACATCAAGGAAAATTTGGTCACAGAATTTCACTAAAAAGTGATCACTGCTCGATTTGAAGCATGAGTTTTACTCACCAATAGGGGTATACCTACAGGATTAAAGAGGAAAACTGAAACTTACATTGATTTCACCTTAGCAAACTGTGGAGGTAAATTTCCAGAAAGGGGATTGAATGAAACATCCCTGCAATGAAGCAGTCAATATCCACGAGAACAGATTCGTGGCTGAAGAAGCAAAGCATTCAGTAATTAAACTCAACATGACACTTACAATGCAATAAGCTCTGGAGTTACGATGCCTTCGGGCAACTCCCCACTCAAGTTGTTGTTTCCAAGATACCTGCGACATGTATAATCAGATGGACTGATGCAGCATCCCTGTTTCCGCCATTAGGTACTGAGAAAGAATTTGCCTAAGAAAATGGAAAACTGAGGTGTTTCTTTTCCCAGATTGAATTCTCATGAACCCATTATTCCTCAAAGTCACTTAAGATTTTGCGCAAACCAACTTTTCAATCAACTACGTGGGAAAGATGAGATCAGTCAAAAATTTTCTGACTGAATTCACACCGAGTTATTCATGATTGGATCCCACAGGATTCGAGTTACTAGGGGTTTATCCTTCTAGAGTTAGGATGACAAATCTAATAGATAAGGACATGATGCCTTTTGGAAGCTGTGTCAGAACCCAAATTGCAATGTGATAGTATTCGAAAAGATAGATCTTCATGGAAATGTAGTTGAAGAATTTGCATCTTCCCTGCTAAATTTAATGTTAGCGAGTTGTATTTTATGGAAGCAAACAAAGTCCATGCCATGAACTTGACAAGGTACAACACAAAAATTATGTGACAGAGAACGAAAATGAGGTCACATCCTACCAAGTTGGACAGTGAAGAGCTATGGTCAGAGAACTTACAAAAACTCCAATGAAGAGAACTCCCGGAATGAGATCGGTATTTGACCTGTCAACTCGTTGAAACTCAAGTCCCTGAAATCAAGATTTTATCCAGATAAAAGACAAGGTGATATAATTCCCGAACAGCTAAATTGCTTTCAGCGCACAGCAATCAGAAAAATGCAGGGGAAAGGAAAGTGCATGCTCTCCCTTTGTTTAAGAAAAGAAAATTGCAAAAAGAAAGGAAAATAGAGATCAAATTGATCTGCAGGTAGAGAAAAGGTTATAAATCAATAACAAGGTAACTTACAAGTATTGCAACATGGTGAATCTGCCAAGACGCTCTGGTATTTGTCCCGATAGCCTGCAATTTCTCAAAGATCTGCATTCAAGATTGTAAGTGACACAAATATGAAAGCAATTACAGCAGCAGAAAAAGAAGAAAGCATTGTTTACAGATTCAATACTATGAAGTATAAATCTCTTACAGTGTGGACAAACTTGTCTGGTCGTTTAAAAAATCAAGAGAGGAATCTTCCCCACTCAGATCACCAATTCTCCTATAAGCATTGATTATTTCAAGTGAGCCATGCACAAATTTTATAAAATAAAAAAGGCAATCACTGGAACAAGTGGTTGCTTCAATAGAAAGTAGAAAGTCATTTTAGTTGTTAGGATCACACTGTATCTAAGTGAAAGGCCTTACAGGTCCTCCAATTTAGTTAGAGCTGCAAAACTGCTTGGGATTGGACCTTCAAGAGATGTCCCTTGAAGCCGCCTGTCGAAGAAAGAAAACTCAACAGTGTTTATTACTATACCAATGGCATTATATAGCTGAAGGAAAAGTCATTTTGCATACATGTCTCTGAAATCTGTAAAGGTCCCAAGAAATTCTGGCAGCTTCCCAGTCAAGAGATTATCAGATGCCCAGCTGAAATGTGTCAAAATAAAGAAAATAAACCTTTCAAACAACTTCTTTCCTGTTTCTACCATCAAGGATATCTATCTTCAAAGATTGTTCAATAATCACTAGAGAAGTACAGAATCCGAAGGGATTTTAAATTTGCAAATTCTGGAGGGATTGGTCCACTAACTCCACTGCTATCAATATACCTGAAAGGAAAGTTTGATAATAAATTAGAACTGAAAGCAAAGAAAAACATAATACATTAATAACTCTTAAAAGTGGTGGAAGAGTATAAGTTCTTATGTTAATGCTTAATTCACACTAAGTTACACTTATGTTGGAAGCTGAGACAGATAAGACACTCAGTGTATTCAATCCACGAACGGGCACAAACATCCAACAGATCTTGTAAAAAAGATCAATTTATAGTCTCTATCCATTGAGTTACTGCTAAGAAAACACCAGCTTGTTCTCATTTGCCTTTAACAAAGTGAATTAAAGAGGAACCCAAATCTAAAATTCAGGTTGCCCTACTTACAGCTGCTGCAAAGATGTCAAACTTCCAAGCTCTTTGGGTAATGGTCCGAAGAAATTGTTTGAGCTAAAACTTCTGCAACACAAAAATAGCGAAAGAAAAATTCAGGATTTAGAGTGAAAGGGCTTAACATTAAAACAAAAATTTTGGAAAGATATTGGGAAAACTATGGATATGAACTTAACAGGGAAAGCAACTTGGTTAAATTGCCAAGCTCGGGGGGCACTGGACCTGTGAGATTGTTTATGCCTAGGCTACTGTTGAATTGTCCGAACAAAAAGACATCAGCGACTAGTTCAAGTTCAGATATGCATTAATCCTGCAAATTCATGAACTCAGCAGTAAAGTTCAAAACAAGCAAGTTATGACAGTCACAGGTATTGCATTTTTGATAGCTGTCCAATTTCAGCAGGAATGGACCCGTTTAACACATTCTGACCTAGATTCCTGTATCACAGATAGGATGTCAGATCAATTTAAAAGTGGGTATAAAGGAACGAAAGTTCCAAGTTTTGGTCTCATACAAGTCCATCAACTCCTTAAGCTCAAACACTTCTCTGGGTATCTCACCCTTGATATCCAAAGCATAAATCTTCCTGCAATTTTTGAAAAATCAGGATAATGAAACTAATACAAGGGGGAAATGATAAACATAATGATCATGGTGGTGCTTGTAAGCTGACAAAACGGTGATGTGGCAGGGATTGCTGGAGCAGTCACAGGCAACATGAGGATTTGAATCTTCTGAGGTCCACGTTGCGTTCCGGCTGCAGGGGTCAACGGTTAGATTCAGCTTACTTCCCAAGTTCCAGTAATCTATGATCTTCCTGAGGGCAGCCACTGAACCAAAAAAAGGCAGATGAGAAAACTTAGAACATAATTACCAGTTGAAACATTAATGGAAGCATCCATAAAGTAACCAGCTTGCTTATAGAAACCTTCATTTGGATCAGTGTTTTGTTGTGCAGAAACAAGCTGAAGCAACCCAAGAACGAGCAAAGAAAAGCTAAGGAACCCCATAGCTGAGTAGTAATGGAAACCATGCACCCACCAAGCCATACAAATAGGCACAGCAAACAGTAGGAAGATAAGTACAGAGGACCAGGGCGGCCATAAAATTTACAAACGAAAGAAACAGATTTTGATAGTGAAGATTCGTTGACGTTATGTAAGAACAAAGATAAAAGCAGACTTAGCAGAGTCATTATGCAGGAGTCTTTCTTTGACTAGCTCTCCTCAAAAGCATTTTCTATTCCATGAAAGCGAAGACCAAAACAGAGTCGTCCGAAATCTTGTAGAAATTCTTACCTCTTCCATGTTTCATGTTTCCCGGGAAAAGCCGATACTTGTATTTTACTGCTTGTTTAGTATCTCTGATGTTAACATAACAACTACCCCTTTGTACCCTTTTCCACATACGCCATCAAGATTTCCACAGAGGATCTCAATTGCGGTTCCTGAGCCCACCTAAGTCATCTCAGCTGCTAAAAGTTAATCGGACGATCAAAAATAAGTTTGAAAGATTCCGCGGTGGCAGCTAATCCTACTGCTGTAGAAACATATTCATACCTGTATCTTTCTGCTTCTGCAACTCCATAAACATCTTCTTTGTATAACTATTACAATCATCCTGTTTCTGTGTGAATGCTGAAACATAATTCTCTGCTTTCTTTTCCCATTCACCATTCATATTGTTTTCCCAGAAATATTCCATCCGGAAAGGAAATCAGTCTTTGATCTCTGGCACTCTTGCTCCAAACTTCAACCCCACATCAAAACAAGAGAGGAAACTGATTTGTATATGTTACAGTGTAAAGTTGTTACTTTTAAGAGCTAAATACTGATTGTTATCAGATTAATACCTTGAATTTTCAGTTGAAGAGCATCAAAATACTTTCTTTCATTGAAAAACTAAATAAAGTAATTGAAAATTTCAGATATCCATTCGATTTTCCATTTGATACTCTTCGAGAAGTGAATCGAAAAAGTATCTAAAAAATACCCAAAAAAAGAAGAAGAAAAAAGTAGTACAAGTCTATAATTCTCCTTGATGGTATTCCATACATGTGAAGATTTTTCTTTATGATTCTCTTCATCAAGAAACTGAAGCAGAAACAATGGCTCAGAGATCAGTTTCCTTGATAGTTCTTGCTTTGCGTCAGTCAATCTGTACTGGCACTTTGCGTCATACGTACTTTGACTTATCATAAGCTACTGATTTTCGGACAGCATTTTTCACTGTCTAATAGCACCGTGATTTTCGGGAAGGAAATATAAATTAATCTTTTTTTAAAAAAATTACAAACAAAATTACTAAAATTTTAATGACAAATAAATATAACACTTTCCGGTTCAAAATGAATGTTTTATGGGTTGATCCGTAAAATATTTTATATATAAAATAAGTTTTCAATTTCTAAACATGCATGAATTATGAAATTATTTTTTTAAAAAAATTTTACTCTGTTTCTAAGAAGTTTATATTTTTATTTCCTTTTTAATAAATTCTCAGTATTGAAACATTTTTTTCTTTTAAAGAAAAATTAATTCTTGTACGATGAATAAATTTTTTTTTCATATTTTATTGCTAATACTTTTTTAAATTATTAGACAATATTTTTGAGAAGATTAAAATTTGCATAAATTAGTCTTGTTTTATCATGTATGAAATGATGGTAGTCTTTCTTAATCCTAAATCTTAAATCTTAAGTAAATGATACGAATCATTAAACCAAAAATTTCTATCATCTTCTAACAAATTAAACAACATTATTATTAATTAAAAAACACAATTAATATGATTTTAGAACTATAGGGGAATTCCTCCCCTTTGTAAAAAGGAATACCAAAATGAAAAAAAAAAAAAAAGCACTCAACGATTTTAGTTGGTAGCAACATCCTTTGAACAAAAAAGGAAACTAATAAAGACAGGTTGCAAACTTAAACATGAATTAACTTAAACTAGGCTCTCAATACATCAAATAGAAGTTGACCTAATTAACAAGCTAATTAATTAATTATGCTTCACTCATCTTGTTCTTGCAAGAGTGTACATATATATGCTTTCACACTACACTCATTTTAGAGCTTTTACAACTATTTATTGGAAGGAATTGATCATATCCCAAGTACTAGTGTAGGCAAAACTAGTAAATTTGAGCTTATCCTAGTAGTTGAGTCCAAATTCATTCATTTTCATTCATCCCGAGTTCTTTACTATCTTCAATCGTTGCACGGACCTAATAAAAACCCTGCAAAACCAACATCGAAAAATTTATTTAGATATTATAATAGAAAGAAGTCATCTGATATTTATAGCAAAGATTCGAGTCTAATTCTTTAAATAATAAGAAATTATAACAGAAAGAAATTGTATTAATATTTATTTTTTTTATTATTTTAAAAGAATTCTTTTAAATAAACAAATACATCGAGCATTTTCTTTTGTTTATTTCTTCTTCTTGTCCTTCTACAATTGGCTAACGTTGCTAGAAAATTTGATTGAAAGGCTAGAAAAAAAGGGTAGAAAAATATACGTACTGCCATGGAATATCTCCAGCAATCAGCCAATCTCCTTCTTTGTCTTGGTAGGTGAGAGTATAACGTGTGTAATCATCTTCATCACTTTTTTGGCCTGTTCAAGACAGGAACAACAGATCAACCGAATGTTGAGACTGTGGAAAGAATTTTCATGTATGGTTGATTACTACTTACCTTTGACAAACATGCTGATCAAGGAGTTTGTAAGCGCATGGTACGAGTGGTAAAGCCTTACATCAACCTTTCTTGCTATTGCTACTCCTTCCATCTTCACCTTGACATAGATGGATCTGCCATTTTCTTTCTCTGCCGTCCAGTTTTTCTCAATCCTGCCAGCCTGATGCTGGTGGAATAGTTTCTTCCTCCACGACTTAATAGGTGGCCAGCCCACCACTTGTTCTTCCTCTGCATCATTCCTAACAGTTGAAAAAGCGATTGTCAGTATCAGATGATGTTTGTTTGGCTTCTGATCAGTGAATCAAGTTCAAAATGAAATCCGATTCTTTGCCATTTTACTTACTGGAACAAACTGAAAGAATTATGTATCAGGTTTGTAGTTAACGTTTTCTTGTTTTCTATCTGAAAAAAGAAAAGAACTTACTCAGCGATGGAGGAAGAAGTTTTCTTCTTTTGATCCCTGTGATCTTCTTCCTCGTTTGGCTGGCCACTCCATAGGAGCAAAGGCATTGCTTTACAGTCATCAGTGAAGTTTCCAAAGGCCTGCTCAAAACCACGTTTGTTTTTAACACAATCTTTTTCCCCGAAACAGCCACCAGCCTGGTTCCAAGCTTCCAAACCCCCCATTTCTTTCAGCTGGTCGAGTCCGAGGTTGTTCAAGTCGAACCCCTTGATTATGTTTGGAGTTGGGAGAGCAAGACCCAGTTGAAGCTCCATATTCGGATGGAAAATAAAGTACTACAAACGTTAAACCCAATAAAATATGAAACAAAAGCTAGGGAGATGGGGGCTTAAAGCGAATGCTGTTTCTGCTTGAAGCTGAAGATATATATATACATATATATATATAGGAGGGTGAGAAAGGAAATTAACGTGTGTCTTGTGGAAGAAAGGAAGTTAGGGACAGCATAGAAGTTGGGTCGGCAAAAAGCCTAGCAATGATCCAGACAGGTAAAGAAAGAATGCACCAACGTGCCAGAACCGCCTAGCCCAGGCTAGTTCCAAGTTTTCATCCTTTGTCTCTGTCCCCACCAATCACCAAACCAAGCTCTCTCTCTCTCTCTCTCTCTCTATATATATATATATATGTATATATATATATATATATATATATATAATATCAAACAGTTTAATTAATATAATCTAAACTGTCTAAGTCTAAAATTGACTGTTATTGTAGTTGGTCGTCGAGCTTGAGAAGTATTTGCTTTGTTTCATGTATCATTTCCAGTGCAGAAACCTTTACCACAGCGAATTATGCCTGCTGGTGTTCCCTGGAAATGATCCTTCACGACAAGAACCATGTTTTTGCAATTTGCAATGGTTCATCTCGATGGTGCAACAGGGGATTTTGTTTTTTTCACTAAACAGAAGGAAACTGGCCTTAATTACTTTGCTGATGTTGTTCCTGGGAGCTCTAATTTCTTGGATCATCTTTCGAACCCGAATCAAAATAGAACCAGGCAATGCCCAATCAGTGTCCTGTCTTTCATATGTTTTTTAATAGATTTCTCTAGTTTGATGAGTTCATGTGCTTTTTGGGTTTTTAAAATTGAACTAAACCTGACAGTAGCACTTCCTAAAATATAGTTCGTGCACATGACTTTAATACTAAACATGCACCAACATGTCGGCAGACGACACCCAAACCCATCATGATGCATGAACTCTCTCATTTCAAGACCCTCCATGATAACGGGGTACTAAAACATTCTACTGATCTTCTTCTTTGTAATGATTCTGAGACTAAAACACTTCTCCATTAAAATAATCTCGATTCTTTCTGTCGGAGTTTCTTTCTACAATTGTAGATCAATAATAAGAGAGAGAGAGAGGAATGAACTTAGACAAAGTAACCAACAACATATTATACGTTCGGTGTGTGTTTTTGTAGGTTTCTTTGATCACATTCAAGTAATGGTAGGGTTCAAAAACCCTAGCTGTGAAAGTACTTGTTTCAGAACATGGAGAGGGTTCCCTTGTGAAGTTCACGTGATGGCCGGCATGGGCTCGACATGTTAGCCCCCCGGCAACCCGCTGCACGGCTAGCGTGGTTTCTACATACATTCAAACCAGCAATCGGAGTTCTTCATGTTCAGTCCCATCATGATTCAATCTGGCTTTGGATGATCATGCTCGTGTGGTGGAACCCAACAATGGTTAGATATAAGACCAAATTTAGTACACATTATTTACTGTCCCTTGGGCTGGCATACACACATAACTTCAAACGCGTTTGTACCTCCGAGTTTGGTAAACTCTAAAGGGATTTTGGCAATGTTTGAGTTGATTGAGTTTAACAAGACCCCAAAAGATGAAAAATGGGCTGGATTGATTTTATGTTGTTCTAGCAAGTGGAATATGAAGGCCAATTCAATCATGGAGGAAGTTCCAGTTCCACCGCTCAGACACCCTTCCACTAGCTTTAACCACTTTCTTTGAAAAACGGTTTGTCTCAGAAAGAAGGCTATGGCGTGAAAGAGTTACAACCTGCAAACTTTCTACTCTACTTTTCTTTAAAGAAATGGTCAAACAGGGCACATTAAAAGCGTGACAAACCCACAGTTTTGGTAGGAAAATTAGCCTCCTGAAAACAGTCC